TGGATACTCTTTAAGAGTTATACTATCAAACAAATAAATAAAAAACACGCAAAAAAAATACCCTACCCTCTTCTTCTTCTTCTTAGACGTTGGGATTTAATCTCCTGGACTATGTCGCTCGCTCGATACATCTTGTTGACCTCAGCATTTGTTCTCATTCGGTATTGGTTGCTATTAATGTCGTGATAAGGCCCAAATATTCTTCTGAGGATTTTCCTTTCAAAACATCTAAGTTTTCTTTCAGTTTCTTTGGTCAGGGTCCACGTCTCACACCCATACATGAGAACCGGTCTAACTACCGTTTTATATATTCTAATTTTTGATGTTCGTGTTAGGCTCTTAGATTTAATTGTATTGTGGAGGCTGTACATACATCTGTTTGCTGCCTGAATTCTTCCTTTAATCTCTTCCGCGATATCGTTATCTGCAGTGATTGTTGCTCTGAGATATTTAAAACTCTCCACTCTTTCAAAGTTATAGGGTCTATTGTAACATTTTGCCCTATTCTATCTCGTCTCCTTTGTCTATTGATGCACATGTATTTGGTTTTCTCTTCGTTTACCCATAAAGTCACTTCCCCTACCCTCTTGAAGATACTTATGTCTGCATTAACTTCTTCTTCTTCTTCTACGGCACTTCAGCCCAAATTGAGCCTTGGCCTCATTTATTTTTGCCTCCACTCTTGCTTGTCTGTGGCTGATCTTCTCCATACACGGACTTTCTTCACATGGGGTCTTCCCAGCGCTTTCTTGGCTTTCCAACCGGTCTCTTTTTCTGCATTCTAGCATTCAGTGCTCTTTTTGGTAGCCTATCCTCTCCCATTCTTATCACATGTCCGGTCCATTGCAATCTTAGTATTCTAAAGAAGTCTGATAGTGGTGGTTCCTTATAAAGTTGATAAAGCTCGTTGTCGTATCGACGTATACCCACTTTTTATCTTTTTTAGGTATTCGTAAGCCCCTCTTATTTCGTTGTTTTTGAAATTCTCTTCCATTTTTTCAATTTGTCCATTTTCATACTCTTTTTTATTTCTACATATCTTGTCTGCTTTCCGTCTTGCGACTTCAAATGGTGTTCGTCTTTCCCGTGTTCTTCTTGTTATATACATTTTGTGTGCATCGTTTCTTTCCTCTATTGCTTGTCTGCACTCGTCATCGAACCATGCTCCTCTTCTCGCCTTTTTCTTGTTTACAGGGTAAACGCTGCCGCTGTCAGTACTGCTGTTTTGATATTATTCCATTTGCCCTCTATGGAGTGCAGTTCTAGCGTCTTTTACTCATTTGCGACTTCTTCTTCGAACTTCTCTTTACATTACTGAATCTTTTTTCAGTTTTTCCAGGTCCAGTTTGTTTGTTCTTTGTTATTTTTCGTTTCTTTCTTTGTTAACTCTGAATCTAAATTTGGTTTGGAGTAAAAGATGGTCTGATCCACAGCATGCTCCTCGTCGTGTTCTCACATCTGAGATACTACTGGCTGCCCTTTTGCCTATCAGCACATAGTCAGTTTGATTGGTCCTGGTTCCATCTGGTGACATTCCTGTCATTTTATGTATGTCCTTATGTGGGAAGCATGTGGAACTTATGACCATGTTTTTACTGAGGGCAAAATTTATCAAATACTCCCAATTCTCGCTTGTTTCATTGTGCAGTGGGTGTTTTCCTGTTGTGCCATAGAACTGCGGCCCCTTACCTATGTTAGCACTCATATCACCCATTATAATCTTGATGTTATTTTTGGGTGCATTGTCATATCATAATCATAAATCAAATGCCTTGGACTGATCACAAAGTAAATATCAAAGCCCACATGTACAGATCGTGGCAAACTACTTGGGATCACACTGCCAACAAACTCCAAGAATGTCTAAGTCAAGTAGGAACCAAACTCATCTTACCAAGCAATAGAAAAGACCAAGTCATCATTAACCGACTCCGAATAGGACATAATTTCCTTACCCACAAGCATATCTTCAACCAGGACGCTGCTCCGATGTGTAGGTACCAAGTGCAACACTCAGTTGTCAGTAAAACATATAATTGTCGAGTGTCCAGTGTATACCAGAACGAAAGAATCGCGTGTGCCCTTAGTGACAATTTACAAAGTCTACTAACGTCAAACGTACAGTCTTTATTAAGTTATCTTAAAATGACTAAACTATATACCAGGTTGTAAAAAATATCTTTTTTATGTGACAATATATATCTAACTCCTTTTTCAACAAGAAGCCACAGAGAAAATGGACCTGGATAAGCCCTGACACCAAAACTAAGAACGAGATCGACTACATATTATCAACACAAAAATACGTAGTCAAAGATGTCACAGTGCTAAACCGTTTCACAACAGGCAGCGATCACCGAATGGTGAAAGCTGAGATACAAATTAACAGCCAATTTGAAACCAGAAAGAAAATCAAAAACGTACAAATACTAGATATGGAGAAACTTAGCCAAAACGAAGAAAAGTACAAAGAAGAAATAAAAAAATGCATCCCAAATACAACCGACTTAATAAATAAAGAAACAAACGAAATAAATGAAATACTAACAACTGCATTGCTACAAGCCGGAGAAAGAATTGCAAAATCGACGACAAAAAAGGACAATTATATCTCAGAAGAAGTAGAAAACCTGATGAAGACAAGAAGAAGCCTATTTGAACAGGGCAAAAGAAACACAGTAGAATATACTGAAATCAATAAAACAATTAGAAAAAACAAAAGAAACCAAGAGAAAAACGCAGGAAGCAAAGATTGAAAGAGTAATCCAGCAGAACAAAAATATGAAATGCTTAAAACAACGACTCGGTAAAACTCAGATAAATGAAATGACAAACAGCGAATGAACAACCATTAATGATATGAAACAAATAATAAAGTTGACACAAGAATACTATACGCACCTATACAGAACAAGACATAAACCACAGCAAGAAATTCTTAAACAATTAAACATAAAAATAAAAAATATAAACTCTGACCTGCAACCAGAAATAAGTAAAACAGAAATCAAGAAAGTGATTCAAGAATTAAAAAACCATAAGTCACCTGAAAAGGATGGAATAACTGCAGAGATGCTAAAGAGGGGAGGTAAAACAACTAAAGAAGTCCTACATATCCTCATGAACAAAATATTGACCACAAAAGAAATACCCGATAGCTGGAACGATGCGGAGACACTATTAATGTTCAAAAAAGGTGACCGAAAGAACTTAGAAAACTATATACCTATAACATTACTAAATGTTGTATTTAAACTACTAACGAAGTTAACATAACAAATAGACTAACAACTAAGCTTGACTAATATCAAGCAAGAGAACAAGCGGGATTCAGAAAGGGTTTTAGTACTAGCGACCATCTGCTAACAGTAAAAATACTGATTGAAAAGTCGAACGAATATCAAATCCCATTATACATGGCATTCATAGACTTCCGAAAGGCGTTTGATAGCATAGAACATTGGGCCACCAAAAACTCACTACACAGCGGCAGAATTGATTACAGGTACACGGACCTAATAACAAACATATACAAAAATGCGAGTACCACAATAAAATTGACGAACGAACACGCTACAGAACCAATAAAATTCGAAAGAGGAATCAGGCAGGGAGACACAATATCGCCAAAATTGTTCAATCAGGCTATGGAAGACATATTTAAAAAATTAGAATGGGATACATACGGAATAAGAATAAATGGAGAGCTCTTGAACCACTTGAGATATGCAGACGATATAGTCCCGATAACAGATAAGAAGGAAGAGTTACAGAAGATGGTTGAGGAACTAGATAGAAAAGCGACAGAGGTAGGTCTAGAGATGACCTATAGTAAAACCAAGACTATGACAAACCAAGAAGACCAATTAGAAATAGTAGTCAAACAGAATAAATTAGAGCAGGTGGCAGAATACATATACCTAGGACAGATAATAAAGCTGAACAGGGACAATAAAACAGAAGAAATAACAAGAACAACTAGACTAGCATGGGCCTCATTTGGTAAACCATCATATATTCTAAAAAATAAAAAGTTCCCTCAATATATGCGAACGAAAGTATTCAATCAGTGCATTTTACCAATTATCACATATGGCTTACAAACATGGACTTTCACAAAGGAGAACATCGATAGGATATCCAAAACACAAAGAGCAATGGAAAGACAGATGCTGGGTATCGGTCTTAAAGACAGGAAAAGAAACTCATGGATCAGAGAAAAACAAAGGTGAACGATGTATCAAGACAGGTTGCAAAACTTAAATGGAACTTCGCCGGTCACACTCTCCGGCAAAAAGATGAAAGATGAAATAAGCGAATTCTGCACTGGAGACCATGGGAAAAGAAAAGAAAAAGAGGAAGACCACAGATGAGATAGGCTGACAATCTTAAGAGAACGGCAGGAAAGGACTGGATGCAGATCGCCCAAAATAGAGATCAATGGAGATTGACAGGGGGGCATATGCCCAAGAGTGGGCGTCTAAGGCTGATTAGACGTCTAGATTAGATAGAGGGCGTCTAGATAGATAGATAGATAGATAGATAGATGTATCTTACTGTCTGTGTATGTCCCCCCGCTAATAACCTTTAGTGGTTTATGCGGGTATATTTGTTTAAATAAAAAATAATAAAAAAAAATTAAAAATTTTAGGTAAAACCCAAACACTTTGAGAACAATGCTGGATACTTTATTTTACTTTTACGTCACTGTTTTATGATATTAGATTGGGTTTTATCTCAAGTGCAATAAAATTTGTGCTATCAATTATTTTCAAATGCAGTATTATAAAGGTATTATTGTATTTTGTGGTTGGTGTCCAAATATAAGATAAAAATAAGATTTCATAAAAAACTTCAGAACAGTACTTTTATATATAGTTACACCTACGCCGCTGTATACTCATTCGGTATTCAGTATCAGTAATTTGTTGACCCTACTTGACCTCCCTGATTCTTAACCGAATCAACCACAATAATATCCTTCAATTTAGCTATAACTACGCCACTGATCATTCAAATCACACCGCAAAGATTATCTATAGCTCTCAACTTGTTAGGTGTGAATTATTTTTATTTTTTCGTTCATTATCAGAATCTGTTTTTAGAACCAGTATTGACATATCGATAGCGACAATCAGTCCTTTGTGTTCAACCGCAAAGATGCACCAATTGACTGCAGTAATTGATGTTTCAAAAGAAAATACAGTGGTAGAGTGTAGACACAGCTGCTGGACCCTATAATTCGATGTTATTTCCAGACAATTCCTTATCAAGTACCTGAAAAAAAAAAACGACAGGTAGGTATTTCATTTGTTATCAATGATGATCTCATTTTTAAACTATTTTTACTATATTGTCTCTGTGTTAGTGGAAATTTATCTAAAACTAAAGTATTCTTGCTAAAGAAGGTAATTTTTGCTTTAATTTTTTTTCTGTAAGTACAAGAAATTTGAGGGCAAAAGTGTCTGTTGTTGAGTGTTTCAATCAGTACGTTTATCATTGTTTTTAGATTATTTTTGCTAAATGTGCGCATTTGATTGCTAAAGATTGTATGTATGTAATGAAAATACATTGTTTATAAGTCTACAAGTCTAATGAATCTGCATATTTCTCTTTTCATGATCCTTTAATTACTTTTTTTATATGTTACTTTTTCTTAAGACACATTTATTTTAATATTTTATTGATACAGATAGATTGAATGGCGTCGTAAACTTAACCCTTAACTGGTGACCCTATTTTTAATTAAATAAATGGCGACCATGAGTGTGACAGACTCCTGGATAAAAAAGCTGTTTTTGTCAAGCTGGCATCTAAAAACTGCAATAAAACAGTTTTTAATAATAAAACAATATTGTAATGTCATTTTTATGTAGTGAAAAAAAATCAAACTGTAGGATAGGGTGGGCCGACAAAATTTTTTCTGGAAAATAACAACGCCTGTGGTCAAAAAAGTTGAGTTATACTAAAACACAAATTTTAAGTCCAAAATGAGTAGCTAAAAATATTTTTTTCCACTGCCACAAAGACTCTATATTATAAAAGGTCATGGTGGCAGTGAAAAAAAAAATAAAAAATAATAATTATTTCAAACGCAGATCTTCATATTTTTTTATTATATAATTTTTGAAACATCAGGGTTATTGATTTTTCAACTTAAAAAAATTGAAATAAAATCTGTATTGTTCTGGTGGTTTGATGCATACTTTATAACGTATAGTAAACTTTATTTGCGTATTTTTCCACTAACTAATAAGTAGACAAAAATTTATTTTAGGAACCTACTTCAAATAGTGTGCCGAAATTCCCAATAACAATAAAGTAGACGTTAGTATAAACAAAGTTAATATTACCGATTATAATATATTATCATTCTTAAAATAAAGTGACATTGGAGGTCAACGCTTCGCTTATGCTGCAGATTTTGCAGTGGTGTAAGTGTAAACCAATATTTCAATCCATTAAACGGCCTAGCGACACTTAAATTATTTTTAGTGTTTTACCGACAGTTGAGTAGAAAGTAGCGTGTGATAAAATGGCTAAAACTAGAGAATCGTCCAAGTGTCCAATTTTTGGCGCACCTAGTGATTTCAATGATTCGCAATTACCAACATACAGCGATGTTATCCGTTATTTTTTGTGGGTTCGTTTTGAATTGGAAAAAAATGGTGTCAATAAGCATCGACTTATTCCAGAAGCTTTGGAAATTGTAGCTCAGAAAGTAGAAACTGTTTGGATCAAGGCTTCAATTCCAATCATAAGCCACCAAAGGATTATTTTTTTATTGCGAAAATATCAAGAACAACGAAGGCAAATTCTTAAACCTTTTAAGAAAAGACAAAATGTTCCCAGTTGCAAATCTTAATTGGAATCGTTTTTAAGTAACAGTGAACGATTGTTTGACATAGCGACCTGTAAACGTAAGGATTCTGAAACTATTGCATGTAATTGCACAAAAAATTATAAGGTAAACTGAAACTCTGATACGTTATTAATTTAATAACTTTTCTTAACACATTTTTTTTGGTAACTCGACTGGAAAGAGCATTTCTTCTAGACCAAAGAACTTGTCGCAAAATGAAAATTGGTGCCCTTGATAAAGTTGAATCCCAGAAACTTTTGCAGAAGGAGAAAAAAGCGTTCATAATGGCTTCGTCACATACATCAGAATCAACTAGTGTAACAGTCATTGAAAAAGTTCAATCTTCTCGTGAATTACCGACAGATGTGTGTGATAAATATGATACTGAAGATTTTGACCCAGACTTCTCTATTCCATATGCAAATACTTCAAAGTTGCCAGTGTTAAACTTACAACCTAGCTTATCGAATTCGCCCAGTACCTAAGAGGGCATTCAACGTAATCTGAAAGAAATACCAAGATTAGCTGAAACACTTGACCGGTATTTGGTTTCAGACCGAGCAGGAGCAGCTATTGCATCAGCGGTGCTACTAGATTTTGGTGTCATAGATCCGCAAAATAAAACAAATATCGATAAGAACAAAATAAGAAGAGCAAGAGAAAAGAAAAGAATTGAGGTTCAGAACGATTCCATTCCATTATGTCTTCGTGGTATTTACTAACTATTTACTACTCGTGGACATAATATTAAATGATTGGATTTTTTCGTAAAAATCTCGTTCTTATATAGCTCTGTGGCAGTGGAAAAAAATTAAATTAATTATAAAAAAAAACACTGTGAAATAAGTTATCTTATCATACATCTTTTCTGGGGTCAGGCAACTTAATTAAAAAAATAAAATAAAAACACATTACTCAACGGCCCACCCTACTGTAGGACTTTTAACAAAAACAGAAAAAATGGTAACATGTTTTATAACAAAAAATTTTTAAAGTCATATTCCAAAAAAAAATTAAACATATACAAACAAATATAATATATTCTTCTTCTTCTTCTTTTGGCATCGTAACCCTGGATGGGTCTTTGCCTGTCTGGCTATGTCCTTCCATTCAGATCTCTCTTGTGCCCTTCTTCTCCATTGTCTTATATTCATTGTTTTCAGGTCGTCTTCCACGTCATCCAACCATCACGTTCTGGGCCTTCCTTTTTTTCGCCTTCCTATGGGCTTCCATTCTAACATTTTCTTTGTTGTTTTTGCATCGCTTTATCTCTGCACATGTTCCAGCCATGACAGTCTTTGACTTTTCACAAATCTTACAATGTCATAACCTTCATTTAACTCATTAACCTCGTCGTTTCTCCTGATTCTCCATGTGCCATCTTCCTCTTGTACCGGGCCATATACTTTCCTCAGTATTTTTTTCTCGAATATCCTGAGTTGGACTTCATCTTTTTTCGTCATTACCCAAGTTTCACATCCATAGGTTACTACGGGTCTAATCAGTGTTCTGTAGATAGTCATTTTGGTTCTTTTGTCTAATAATTTCGATGTCATCAATCTTTTATTAGCATAGTATGTACGATTCCCACTGGAAATACGTGCATTAATTTCGCTACTTACGGAGTTCATCTGATTGATTTCTGTGCCGAGATATGTAAAGGCATCCACTCGTTCGATAGTATAGTTGTCTATTGTGATATTATTTATTTTCATTGTCAATTATTCTTTTGACTGTCATATACTTCGTTTTTGCTTCGTTTATTTTAAGACCTCTTTTTCTTGCTTCATGATCAATTTGTTTGAACACTTCCATTAGTCGTGGCTTATTCCTACTAATGATGGGTACATCGTCTGCATATGCAGCAATTTGTACTGATTTGGTGTTTATATGGCCGGTTATATTGGTTTTTCTGATGACTGCCTCAAGAACTAGGTTGAATAGCATGGTTGATATGGCATCTCCCTGTCTTACTCCCATGATGATGTTAAACAGGGGAGTCAGTTCTCCATCTACTTTGACTGCGGCTTTTGAACCCTGCAACGTCATTTTTATGAGGCTGATGTATTTCTTAGGTATACCTAGATTACAAAGGTCTTCCAGCATTCTGTCTCTTTTCACACTATCAAAAGCTTGTTTAAAGTCTATATACATATTATATAGGTCTATGTCGTATTCATAAGCTTTTTCTTGTATCGTTCTTAGTATGAATATGTTATCTGTAGTGGCTCTATTTGGTCTGAATCCATTTTGATAATCACCAATTATATTTTCGGAGTATTCTAATATTCTATTGTAGGTTATACCAGAAAGAATTTTGTATATTACATTTAGCAATGTAATTGGCATTCTGGCTATAATTCTGGCATTCCCTCTTATCTCCTTTTTTATATATTGGCTGTATGAGGCCAACTGTCCATTCCTCTGGCATTTGCTCCTTCGTCCATATTAATGTTATTAGGTAATGGATTCTTTTCGAGAGTTCGGATCCTCCATGCTTTAATAATTCTGCCGAAATTTTGTCCGTTCCTGGTGCTTTATTGTTTTTTAGTTTATTTATTATCTCAACTATTTTTTCTCTGTTATTAGTTCTCCGTCCTTGTCTTTGCATATCGTTAGTTTTGGTCTAAAAGACTGTGTGCTTTCTTTTATGCATTTATAGAATTTTCTGCTTTCGCGTCTGTTGTTATGCTTTACGATTTCTTGTACTTGTTTTTTCATAGCCTCTCTTTTCTTTCTTCTGCATATTCTAGTCGCTTGTATTCTTTTTTCGTTATAAATCTCACTGCTATTTCTTGTGTTTCTTTGAAGTTGGTTAAGCCTAGCTTGCCTTTTTTCCTCTACTGCAGTTCTGCATTCATCATCATACCATTCCGCATTTCTTTGCCTTTTGGCTTTTCCGACAGTTTCCTCTGCTGACTCCGTTATAATTGTTTTTAATTATAGGTCGTTTATATTTATTTGAGAAAAATGCGACAACCAGCACCATGACTGGTGAATAACAGGGTAGTACCTACCCACACGAAACAATATGGTATATTTTATAAGAAATTGAAATAAGAAATTTCTATTGTTATAAACAAAGATTAATTTTATGTCTTGATGATTTTGTGTAAGTTTAAATTACTTTAATCATATTTCTGCAATGCATTTTCTATAAAATGTTCAAACAATAATTGGTTTGTATACAAAAACTAATTAATAATTGAGCGAACGGTAGGTAGTTAAAGAAAAAAATATATATTTAAATAATTTATAAAACCTTGATGTAAAAATTAAAAGTTTATCTAGTCAACACTTACTTACATTATATTTTCTCCTAAGAACTGATTTTCATAATAAGGCCACGTTTTTCTTAAAAAATTGAAGCAGTAGTTTGGTGTTGAATATATGTCGATAATCCCTACATCTGATTATGTAAGAAAATATTCCGGG